CGCTCGTCACAGCGTTCAGCTTCTTAGTATTGCAGAGCAACACAACAAGGAGATTGCAGAGAAAAACACAGCAAGGAATACCCGCAACTAAAGGTCATTTGATGTCCAAATCCATTTCCTGACCAACTCACCGATCTGGTGGAGTTCATCTCTGTCTGTTGCTGCCAGGAGACTGTGGGGGCTGAAGGGCCCACGAACGAGGGAGCCAACATGGTCGCGGCAGCGCCGGCAGCCACAGCAGCAGTGGCACGTTGGGAGCGAGTGGACATGGCCAACACAAAAAGATGCACACCAAGAATCTAACTGAGCAAAATGCTAGGAGATCGGCAGCTTCCAATCGCCCGATGCCCTGTGAAAAGCTGTGCTTGACACAACAAAACCACCAAAAGACACCAAAAGCGGGCAAGAAGATGCCCATCCAACAACCCATTCGGAAAATGATGGTCCAAAGCTCCAAGTTCTAAGTCTCCAAAAACGTCTGATCCTTTCTCTCTTCCGGACACTGGCGGTTGCCAGCAACGTCCATGGAAAGCTGTGGCAGTTGGCCCACTCAGCGCTTCGTGTTTGGCGCTTGAAAAATTGAGTTTGTTGCTCACTGGGTGTCCGATTCCAATGCGAACCTCTGCTGATGCGGTTGATGTCAGAATAGAAAATACTCTGATACTATTCTCAAGATCAGCCGTCAGCGCATTGCATCTAGACAGGAAAATGCCTTAAAGTTCGAAAGCAATGGTTCCAAGCCAGCTGTTCGGATGTACTGTTCCGGCTAGCGGCTAAAGCATATTATGGTGGGTATGTCATATATCTATTTGGATGTTCCAACAGCTGGCTCGGAGCTAACGGGACTTCACGTTAGCTTTCAAGAGATCAATCGAGCTCAATGCTTGCCCTGGCTGCCATTGGACCTCAGACAGAAAGAAGGACTGTTTTTTCACACCAGGATCATTCAGGATCCAGGATGCACCAAGTCTATGTAGCGAGCACCACCCTGTCCTCATCCTATAAATCGCAGACTTGTATGGTAAGTCAAAACCTATGGCGCCCCGTTGACCCTGGCAACGTTGACCGACCTCCGTGTGGGTCGTCTGTTCATGGAAGGGAAAGGTCCCCTGGTTTTGACCCACAGCCATATGACCAAAATTTTGTGTAATTCATTCGTGTTTGATGCGTTTTCGGGACTTCGGATGCTCTCGGACAACTGGGCTCTCGGACAGGGCGCCCTTCTCGCCGGAGAGGCACCTAGGATCCGTCAACTTGGAAAAACGGATCGCGATGACTTGGAAAAACAGGTGGTTCGTCAGCACATGATGAGGATGAGGATAACGCTTGACGAATGTTGATTTGTAGACAGCTCTGCCGACAAAAAATTGCAAAAAATGTGCTCTGACTGTTGCCCTGAGAGTAGTGGTGGTGGTGTTAGTAGTAGCAGTAGTAGTAGTAGCAGCAGTAGTAGTAGTAGTAGTCGTGGTATTATATAGTCCTAGTCCTAGTCGTAGTCGTAGTGGTAGTGGTAGTCGTAGTAGTAGTCGTAGTAGTAGTAGTAGTAGAAGTAGTAGTAGTAGTTGTTGTTGTTGTTGTTCCAGTAGTAGTAGTAGTAGTAGTTGTTGTTGTTGTTGTTGCTGTTGTTGTTGTTGTTTCTACAAGCTGCAAGATCTACTGGGATCTCCCGGTCCCGTTTCGGAGCCTCTCAGCGCAGCTGACGACGTTGTCAACGTTGAAGCCAAACTTGTCCAGGCCTCATTGGTGGTTGATGACACCCCATCACCCAATATCGCAAAAATGACGAGCTTCACCAACCAATCTGTTTATATATGTATATATATATATATAAGAGGTCTTTGCAGGCTTTGCAGCCTGTACAGCTACCCAACTGAGCGTCATGGTAGATGGACCAAACAAAACAGAAGAAAACAACCCTCGAACAACCCCCTCAATCCCCCAAATGGAACCCATGCCATATTCACCCGAACCGCCATCCATCTCAACTCCTTCCAAAAAAAGGCACGCTCGCCAACTGCACACGCGGAGTCTGCGCCGCGCAGATCGCGTTTCTCTGTCCAAGGCACAGGTGCCACCCGGTGCGGAGGCGCCAAAGACATCAATTCCCACAAAGGCATCCGCCTCGGTGTCGGCTGCGGGGGACACTCGCTTGGGGGTGCTCCAGCGCGAATTCGGGTTCCGTGGGTTTATGAGGTCTGGGAAGACATGGAGCCAGCAAGACTGTGGCTTGGACCGAGTCGACCGAGTACTCAGACCAAGCTCCAAACAAATTCGCCCCAGCCGGAAGTGCACGCAGCCTGATGCAGGGCGAGGCCACAAATGTATTCAGATTGAGTTGATGATCACACGTTGGAACCCCCCGCAGATTAGGACCGCATGGAACCCCAAAGCCACGGGTTGGTCTTCGGAACATGGTCGAAAACACCACCACCGGTGATTCTTCTCAGGTTCCATGGGATCGTTTTCCTGTGGGAGAGTAGAAGAACATGCGTTTTCCTCCGACCTCCACGCTCATCTTTGGCACATCTGCTGGCAGCAGCTTGGACTTGTAGCTGTCCGGCTGCTCCTAGGTTAGAGGAACGGTGCTTCCCCGCTTTGGTGTCTGCTGTGGCAAGCATCATCCCAAAAATGCCAAGGCATGCCAAGGCAGGCGCCCTGTAGACTTCGCAGGAAGGCATGGAGACCTCAGCACAAAGAATTCTTTGAGACAAATCTCTTCAGTGCATAGTGACAAAGTGTCCGTTGCGAAAACCAACAAGCAGAGGAGGAGGAGCGGCCCACAAACCTGGTGAACAACAAGGGGAAACAATACAAAACAATGTCCATCGTTGCCTGTCCTGTGTTGACTGAATGTGCTAAATCCTACCTCTTCCCCACTCCTACCTCTTCCCTGCTAACTGCTAATCATCCAATTGAGGCGGGGGCCACTCGCACCTGAGCTCTTGAAATCAATTGAAGTGCTCACAAGTGATGAATGCTTGAATGAACTTGATCTGCCGTATCATCTCATTATATACTCAAGACAAGTATATAAAGACTATCTAGCCTTCTTGTCCAACTTCTTGGCTGCATCCACGCAAAGTCCAACTTCAGAGCCAGTTCCGATCCTGAAGGCAAGATCGGCTGAAGTGGAACTTCTGATACAAGACCAAGAAGCCTCTCTCAGAAGACATGCAGCTGCAGTGCTTCATCCCAAAAAAAATAAAACCAAGTGGCAGGATGAGCTCGGGCTTTTCGCACTCAATCACCTCGTAGGCACCTCAGTGTTGCACCGCGCGGTCTCTAAACTCCGAGAATCGTCTCGAAACCGGGATCACCAAATGTGTAGTGTAGTCACAAAAGGCAGCTTAAATGCTCTACATGCTCTACATGCCTCAAATCTGTGCCGCTAAATTGCCTGGGAACTGCCCACCTTCCGAGCTCCCTGTTCATTTCACTCGGAAGAAGAAGCTCGGGACCATAACCCATCCGCCTTCATTCTTCGCTCCCGGAAAATCAACAGGAAGACTGAGAAGATGTGGGTCGCTTCGTCAGCAATGTTTGATGTGATGAAAAGGTCTCAGTCTCGGACCCTTCAGGGTGTTCTCAATGGACGAGTTGGGCAAGTTGTCCACAGCCTGGCGAGAGAAGGCCATCATCGTGGGCCGGGACTCGTTCTTGGAGCGCTCCACGGCATACCTAGGCCAGCACGGACGAGATGCAGTTGACGGCCACCCCCTTTTTGGTTTTCACCATGGCTTGCACTGGTTCGTAGATTCTTTGGCACTCATTACTGGTCTGCCTCATGAAACAGCTTCAGCAGAAAGGGCTTACACCGAAAGTAGTTGATGTTCTCAAAAAGGTTGCCCCATTAAACAGATGTCAGACCTTGCAACAGCGCAGGCCATGTTCAGCAGGTGTAGCAACAGGCTGGGCACAAGCACGCACAGCTTGAAGAGATTCAAACGAGAGGGTGATGACTTACAGTACCTCAATCTCTCCTAGGTCCTAGGACCTACAAGGGCCTCTACAAGGGCCTCTCTGCGGCTTTTGCAGGTGACCAATTCACCAAAAGCAAGGTGCTTGTAGGCACCCGCCGTCTCGTTGCCATCAGCGGGGCGCATCACGGTGAGGTCCGGAATCAGACGCAGGGAGGGCAGGGTCTCGATGGGCTGATGGGTAGGACCATCCTCACCCACCTCGGTTGCTTCAAAAAGGACGAGCACCAACGAGCACCAATGAGAGAAACAGTGAAGGCGGATGTCCTAACGTCTTGAAGAAGAGCGATGCTCACTTCATCGCAATTTGATGCCATCACTTCATACTTCAAAAAGAAAATCCCTCAAATCCTCTGCTGTCGTCGTTTTTTTTTCCGCACCCTGTCGCGTCGCCCCCCTGAACTTCGCCCAGGGCACCGCGATGGAGTCGTGCGTGGTCACGAAGATGGTGCCTGCCTGCGACAGGGCGGCGATGCGGATGGCGCCACGCATGTAGTCGGTGAAGATGGTGAAGGTGGCGCAGTAAGGAATGATGCCTCCGCCACGAGGGGAGGTGAGCGAGGCATGGAGACACGGATTCACGGAGAGGCAAGGTGAGCTACAGTACAGAGTCCATTGAAGAACATCCATCTTGTTGGTACACCTTCTAAGAGCTCACAGTCGCAAAGCTCAAGCCCCCCAGCCCAACCGGCTCTTCACCATTCACAGCGGACGCCTGTCTTGTCCAGGGACAAGGCGTTGGACACGGCGCCCATGCCGAACTCACGGATGCCGAAGCGCATGTTGCGCTCGGAGTAGCTGTCCTTCAGGAAGTCGCCGGTGCACTTCATCCTGCGATCCATGTCATGGAACGTCTTCATGAGAACGTCGTTGTTGATGTTTTTGTAAGCAAAAGTTGTAGAGATGAGATTGCCCATCAAAGTTGCATGAGATCAAGCTCTACATCTTAATCGATTGAAGAATCTATGAGTCTTGTAACAAGAAGAAAACGATAGAAAACGCTTGCTTTCCACGCCGAGCCACAAGGTCATGTTCGAAGGAGCCAAGTCAGCGGAGCCACCCATGAACTCGGGCAGCACGTTGGCAATGGCATTCAGGCAGTCCTGTATTCTAAGAATCAGCAAGTTACTTGATGACAGGACGTGCCTTCACGCATCTCCGGCGTTCGTGCTCGTTCATCGACTTGTCAGAAAGGTCGGCACATCACTGGAGAATGAGAACCGATGCATCCGGCAGTCCAGTCGACGTTTACCTAAAATGACTCGGTGACCCGAAAGGGAACGTCCAGTCGACTTCGGTAGTCCCCAAAAATAGCCGAATTGGACGTCTGGGGTATCATGACAAATAATGAAAGATACGTCTCAGGACTCAACTACAGTTTTGAATCTTGCAAAAGCGGAAACAAAAAAAACTGGAATACCTTTCACTCAAGCCAATCTGCAGGTTGGTTTTGGACTCTCCTGAGAGTGGAGCCGGGTGGCCTTGCCCTTGTCCTCCGGCGTCACCTTTGCGCAAGCGAGCACAGCGCGTTTTCCAGCTCAAACCCACAGGGACAAGCAGACTGGACCAATCAAAACAACCACGAAAAGCCGGTACCGGGTCGGCCTCAATGACTCAAGAGAAAGATTTACAGTAGAAAAAGGTAGGATAAAAACATGAAAAAGGTACTGCATGGAAAGAAGTGGATTCTGCGGATGTCGACTCCTTCAATCCTGTTCTCCTCCAGTCTTCCCTTCTTTCTCGCTTGTAAGTCTTCGCCCGAGCCTTGGGCAAGGCATCAGTCCAGTTGTCAGGAAGCTTACGGTCCATCACCGCGCGCTTGAACTGCGCGGCGAGCTCGGGTTCCTTCTCCTGATACTCCTGGGCACCGACGGCGACCGGTGCCGACCGACTGGCACGAACGACGAAGAGACCAGGCCCCCAAGCGTAAATGAAGTCGCCAGACAAGAAAACCAGCCAACCATGGGGTCCAAGTAGATCTAATATATATATATATATAATATGGTTAAAGAAAATCAGTAGATGCCAACCAATATGATCAACCAAGATCAACTAACGAACAAATCAACCATTGGGTTTGACTCTTGAAACTCGGAACTCCAATTGCTACTGGATTTCAAACCCCTGCTGGCTTTGGAATACCAAAAAAAGATCAAAAAACCCGCTGACTGGTTTTAGGTGACTGGTTTGGGGCTATGTCATGTCAGCAGGTGCTGGCTGGCTCAGAAGAGAGAGAGAGAGAGATTGGCCCCGCCTTCCACATCTTGTTCCAGGCCGCTTGCTTCTCAGAGCCAGCCTTGGCGTGCTTCCTGAAGGTGTCATACACCTGCTCTGGCACCTTCACACGCAAAATGGCGTCAAAACCTTCAAGCACGACACGGTTTTCCTGAATCTTGATTGAAGACCCCCTAAAAAAGTTACCACCAAATCTGCACCTCGAACTCCCCGTAGTTCCATCCCAGCTGCTTGCGCGTGGCCTGGGACGTCACCATGTCACCATGTCCATGAGCCACGCAAAGAAAACAAAAAACTCCTGCTTCACATGAAGTGGAAAACACCCCCAGTTTTCCAGGGACCATTCTCCACTTCCATGATGATTTCAAGGAGTGTAGTCCTGTCTGGAAACGTTTGTTTACTTCGTGCCTCCGCCTCATCTGCGCCCAGTGGTGCTCCGTGGGCATCATGGCTGTCAGCCTCAGAGTCATCAACCAGGCACTGGACACCTCTACCTGTCTTTGTTCACTCTGTTCATTCATTTGTCATGTGCTCGGAGTGCTTGGTGTCGAACCTTGTTGGGTGAACCGAAGCCGATGGTGGTCTTCACCTGCAAGCAAAAATCCACAAACATATCCAACATCCACATCTCTCCAATGCACGGTAGTCCACCTTGATCAAGGTCGGCTTGTCAGTGCAGGCTTTTGCCTCCTGGGAGCAGCATGCGAGGTTGACTTCTTGGTAACGATCCATGATGCTTTCTGCTGATCCGCACAATCATGTCGGGCTTTCCAGTTCCTCTCAAAAGCCGAAGAACATCTTTGCAGACACACCATACCAGGACCAGACAGGCAAAAACCAAACCAACAAGAAAGAAAGCTCAGTCCCGGCCCGGACTCCGGACCTTCCTCGTTCTAACATCAGGCCGACGTCTACCGTGCTCGATCGACCGGCCACCTTGATGGCTTTGCGGATCGCATCCACGTCCGTGTTGCCCTCGGAGACCTCCAAGACCTCTGAAGAGGCGGTTTAGCGGAGCGGAGCGGCGCGCCCGGCGGCGTGTACCCCGCGCGGGCCCGGCCGCTTTTGGTTCGAAACGGATGCGTGTCGAAGGCGGAAGGACAAAAGCTCTGCAGGAAGCTCTGTGTTCCTTGCAAATTTGAAGGAACTTAGAATTCCATGGAAGGTCTGTGTCTGCACTCCTGAGAGATTAGGAAAATCTTCAAAATGTTCAAACATTAAGAGCATGGCACACCTGCTTCACGCTTCAGCAAGCATCTAAGCACCTATATACTTCTGCGCCTGCCAGCCATATGCCTCGAAGCGCTTGCCCACATCCTCGGTGAAGGAGAGGTCGGTGTGGCCATCGATGGTGATGCCGTTGTCATCGTAGAAGGCCTCGGACGTCGAACGCTTCGGGTTTTTTGGATGATGGCTCAAGCCACGTGGAGTGTCACCACAAGTTTTACGAGCACCGATGACGTCTTCGACTTCAGAGGCTTCCAATGAAAAGCCATGAACTTTCCCGCTTTGAGCCAAGTAGCGATAAGCTTGCCCAGCCCCAAGTGGCCAGCATAGGCGCAGGCCTCATGCGAGATGCCCTCCTGCATGCATCCGTCACCTGCGGACGAACGGATGAACGTGCACCGTAAAAGAAGTGAACCCAAGAAGTGCAGTCCAACGAACTGAGCAACCACCTGGCCAACTCCTCCTAAGTCCTAGAACCTACATCTCCTTAGCTTCCAAACTCCTCAGTTCTTTCAGGTTCTGAAGTGGAGTAAGGAGGTGTCCATCCCTCTTCAGCCTCCTCATGTCATCACCACCCGGGCTTTCTGTTTTCGCACACGGACCTCCAGGCCACCTCGGGCCGTTGCAAACTCTCCTTGGTTCGAGCCTGCAATGGTATAGGTGTAGTGGTCGATGAGCTCCATACCAGGCTTGTTGTAGACCTAAATCGATCCTTTTGACTGGCTTCTCCGGCTCTTCTCCGAAATCATTCTTCACCCCAAGAAATTGAAGACTGAGTGTCCCAAAATCGACCCATGCATGCCGGAAGATGGAGAGAAGAACCAGATTTGTTTGCTTAAAATGTTGTTTCGTGGCGGAAGAGAAAGTTGCCCAGAGCCCCATCCCCGAAACGCACGGAACGCACGTGGTCTCCGGCAGTTTGGCAACCGGGTCGTTTCGAAGATCTTCTATTCTAACAGTCTTCACCACTCACACACACAAATCGAATTTAATCCACATATTTGTTCGTAGACTCCTGCTGACACATTGCACTTGATATGGCTGTGGGGATGGGGAGGCACCAGGCTACTGACCGGTTGATATCTGGAAGGCTTTTCGCTACATGGTGGACAAGAGTTCCAAGTTTTGACCCATCCACATCATATGAGTGTGTATTAGAAAAGGGAGACTCCCACAGACTTCTACAGACCTGTGGGAACATCAAAAACGGAACATCAAAAACATGCTAAATCCATTGGTTGGAAGCTCCCCCTCTTTCAAACACACACCTGTCTACGGCTTGGTCTATGGACAACCAGGTCCGGCTTCTCCAAGGCACTGCCGCCAGGTGCGCCTCGGCGGCTGCCAGGCCCACGGCGTTGGAGATGCCCATGCCCAGCGGTCCGGTGGTCCTCGGTCGCGAAACGGGGGGGTCTGAAGAAGACAGTTGTAAGGCGAAATGCAGGTAAACGCAGTCTGCAACAGCTGCTGACAAGACCAGATGAAACAACTGAAAATCACCCCAGGTTCCTGAAGCTGCTTGAAAATACTTGTTCATTGCAATCAAGTTTCACTTCAATGCCATCGGTCTCGAAGTTCTCAGGATGGCCTGGAGTCTTGGAACCCCACTGTCGGAACTGTTTGATGTCGTCGATGGAGACGCTGTCGTACCCGGCCAAGTGCAGGAGGGAGTACTGGAGCATGCAGCCGTGGCCTGAAGAGAGGACAAAGCGATCACGGTTCACCCACTTTGGATCCTCAGGATTGTACTGCATCTCCTCAGCGAAGAGAAGGTATCCAATTGGTGCCTGACCCATGGGAGCACCAGGATGACCACTGTTGGCCTTGTTCACAGCATCCACCGCCAAGAAGCGGATGGCATTGATGCACTCAGTGTCCACATCCACTTCGGTTGCTGTGGCGAGGCGAACAACATTGTCCTTCTTGGCGCATCGCTTGTTTGGTCGCACGGCCGCGGTTGCTGCCAAAGCTGCTGCTCCTGCGCCGAGAATGCTGGCTCCAGCGCCAACTCCACTGGCAGGCGCTGATGCGGCCACAGGCGCCGGGGCGCTGGTCACAGCGCTCAGCTTCTTAGTGCAAGCTAAATGTTCAAGTAGCCTTCAAATTCTTGTGTTGCACTTCGAACGCATGAGTGCTTGAGTCATTCATGCTGGCATTGACATTGATATCACTGCAACCGAGGTGCTGATGGCGCTGATGGGCAAACGAATGACGGAGCCAACATGGTGGCAGCAGCCCCTGCTGCCACAGCAGCAGTCGCACGTGAGGAGCGTGTGGTCGGCATGGCGATGAACGACTGATGGTGGGGGTCGGCCCAAGAAACGGTAATAAAAGCACAATGCTGCGGTGCCAATGACCAGTCTGTCTTACTCCTGTGGCGAGTCTCGCCCGGTGAACTCCCAGTCGTGCGGGCTGGAATTCCCTCGTTCTTGATTCTCAACCCAGTTCATCAAGAAGGACCGACTCTTCTAGACCCTTCCCGTGAGGATCCGATCGCGACGGCTGTCGCTCCGGCGCCCTCGCGTTCGCGACTCGGCCCGCCGTTTTTCCGACGTCTGGACACTGACAGCTGCCAGCAACGTCCATGGATTCCGCGGCCCAGAGGGGGGAAGGATCGAATAGGAAAAGGGGAGGGCCCGAGCTGCGCCACGGGGAAGAAGGGCTAAAATATGTCTTAAAAGCATTGGGGTCCAAGCCATCTGTTTTTCGTTCACGAACTGAATCTCATCTGATTCGGAATTCCCACTGACGCTCTGTGCAACAGTTGGCTCGGAGCTAACAGAGCTAGCTGCTAGCTTCAAGAGATTGGTCCAGCTCGCTCAATGCTTGCCCTGGCTGCCGTTGGACCTCAGAGAGGTGCGCTGCCCGTGGCAGCAGGAAAGTCGTTGATTCAATCTTTCCCCAAGACATGGGACGTTTGGTGCGCAATTGTATAGGTCTGTTGTGCAAGCGGAAACTTGCACATCCCCAATATTATATATATATATAGCTAGCCGGTTTCTGCTAGGGCCTGTCTTTTGGGAGGGCCGTTTCAGAAAAATGTTCATGTAAAAACGAAAGACAAAGACGATCAACTCATGCTTTAAGGTTCACTTCTTTCAGGTCTTTGTTTCATCCAGGTCAACTCATGCGACCTGTTTTGTCCTAGGCTTCCGTGCAGCACGCCCGTCTCGCCAGAGAGGCACCTCCAAGTTTGTTTTGAAAGGAACGAAGCAAAAACGGCTCCATGTCCGGAGGTTGCAAGAAACATGTTGCTCCAAGTGAGAAGAATGAAGAAAAAAAAGAGGGCAAACAAAACCATCCTATCTTACATTTGATCTGTACTTCTTCATTTAAGCTCTGGATCATGGCACCAGACCGACAGGTTGACCTACCTGGAAGGTCAAGCTGAGTTTTTCGCTACACGGTGAACCAGGGCTCCAGGTTTTGATCCATCCCGACTTGGGTGTGGCTTTCAATACGGGTCTCCCCCTGGCCCAATGGGTGTTGCGGGAGCCGCACTTGTCAGGGCCAGCGCCGGCCCACGTCAGAACTCTGCTGGCCCAAGGGGTAGTTCCCAATTGAATACACCATTTGTTAAAAGGGCTCTTCTGAAGCTCTCTGCCTCTCAGCGCAGCTGACGACGTTGTCCACGTTGAAGCCGAACTTGTCCAGGCCTTGAATCAAGCAAGGCCAAATGCTAGGCGAATATGGCAGAAATGTATCCAAGAAATGATATCTCAGATCAAAACTCGCCAGATGATGAAGCGTTCTTGGTCTAAATTCATATGGATATCATAAATACATATCAAATGATTCTGATCTTGATCCTTCTGATGGTTTTTGTTGGAGCCAATTGCCTCAGATGCATCACCCCCCAACCCACCCCGCATGCCGAAGGCACAGGTGCCACCGGGGGCGGACGCCCCGAAGACGTCGATGCCGACGAAGGCATCTGCCTCGGTGTCGGAGGAACGAACCAACGGCGGCCGCGCGGTCGGTCCGCCGATCTTCGGTGACGATTTGATGATGACCTTTTTTGGGTTCATCTGTTCTGACGGTTGCGTTCCCAAAGATGGCTTACTTGGTTAAAAAGGCTATCATGCCCTGGTAGTGTTGGTCCAAGAAAAAGACCTGGTGTCCAGGACCGTCCCACGTTGACCGGTTGCCCGGTTGGGTCCGAAACGGGTCAACGGGACCGACCTCGGACGCCAGGCCGAGTTCCCGGGTGGCCGCGTTGTGGGAACAACGCTCGTTGTTTGGGTTGAGCGAGAGAGGACGTGTCTCAAACTGGAAGTGGAAGTGTCTAAAAAAGGAGAAAGAAAACTCCGGACGCCAATGGAAGATCTCTGTTTGACGGGCTGCAGCAGGTCTTCGGAGTGTCTGTGTCGCGTTCTTCGGGATTGTCTAAGATCGAAAAAAGAACGAACTCAGGACATTGAGGTCCAAACGAACTCACCCCATCCAGCAGTGCATGCAGCCTAGGTGGTGTGCAGCAATGCGCGTGCTGCTTCATGCTGCTTCGATGTTGAAGTGGTGTGAAACGAAAAGAAAAACGTCTCATGAAGCTCAAATTCTGAGAAGAATTCCCTTGATCGATTCATAGGAGACTTCCGGCCTCCACGCTCATCTTTGGCACGTCTGCTGGCAGCAGCTTGGACTTGTAGCTGTCTGGCTGCTCCTAGGTCTTAGGTCATATAGAACTCCCTTTGTTCCCATTTCTTGAGCGATGGTAAATATGGTAAGAGTATCATGCTCGACTTCTCCACCAAGGCAGCCGCCCTGTAGACCTCGCAAGAAGGCATGGAGACCTCAGCACAACCCATTCAGAAACTTCAGAAGCAGAAATAAACGTGGCAGAAACTTCTGCATGCAGTAGCTTCCATCACACCCATTAAGGCCTCAGCCACTCGCACCTGGACTTGTGTTCATGTGCTGTCACGCGTATGACTTGAATGAGGCCAACCAGACCATCTTTCGCATCTGTTCAGCCTTCTTGTCCAGCTTCTTGGCCGCATCCACGCAAAGTCCCACTTCGGAGCCGGTTCCAATCCTCGGGGGACGGACCGGCTCGCGGCGACCGTGCGAGGCCGCCCAATCCGCCGAAGACCGGTCAGTGGGGAGACTCCCCGGCGTCGTGGCACCGGTGTCGTGTCTACGTGGTTCTACGTGGGGATGACCCCGAACGTCTATCTATGACAGGGGGATCGGAGGGGGTGTCTCTTTTTGGGCTTCTACAAGTGAGTTGCAGGATGAGCTCTGGCTTCTCGCACTCGATCACCTCGTAGGCACCTCAAGATTCTCAAATGTCCAGCTGTAGGGCAACACCCCAAAACACCTCAACCTTGAAGCTGTCAGATCAGACTTGCTCTGACTTGCTGTTGGAGCGAAAACCGAAATGGGAGTCATGTTCCTCTCACATGGGAGTCCTGCCACGTCTTGGGAATGGGAAGATCCCACGAAAACGCCTCAGTCTCGGACCCTTCAGGGTGTTCTCAATGGACGAGTTGGGCAAGTTGTCCACAGCCTGGCGAGAGAAGGCCATCATCGTGGGTCGGGACTCGTTCTTGGAGCGCTCCACGGCATACCTCACGGAGCAAGCAAGCCCCTGTTGATGTTAGTGCGTTGGTTTCATTCAGGTTGGGCAGGCTTCTGGCTTAAACTGTTTAAACTAAGGCGCAGTTTAAACTGTTTGACCCGACACTGGTTTCATGCATACAACTAAAATTCCGATTGCCCACAATGGCCAACGCCAACTCTCACTGAACACAAACATATTCAAACACCTGGGTTCTGGTCAACAGCCCAACAACCAAATCGAAGAGACAACTCCGATGGCCCTGCTGGCGTTCCTCCACTTTCAAGCCGAAGCTCTTGTAGGCACCCGCCGTCTCGTTGCCGTCGGCGGGGCGCATCACAGTGAGGTCCGGAATCAAACGCAGAGATGGGATGGTCTCAATGGGCTGATGGGTAGGACCATCCTCACCAACCTCAGTTGTGGCAAGTGCTGAAGCAACTTACTCCTACAAGAAGTCGCTCTCAAAAGAAGGCACCTGCATTCTGGTATGCGGTGCCTATGTTCCAAAACGGACGTTTGTTGTCATGCTTTCGTTGTGTGGGTGTGGGGCTCACAGAATGCAAGGCGTGTCCAGGCAAACAAAACATGAATAACAAAGGAATTGTACACTCCCTGAATGAATCATGGAAGAGGAGTTCACCACCTGTTTGGTATTTCGGAAGATGGTCATTCAACGCTTGTTCTCCACTTTAAAATCACACACAAAATTCGTGCTGAACTTCGCCCAGGGCACCGCGATGGAATCGTGCGTGGTCACGAAGATGGTGCCTGCCTGCGACAAGGCGGCGATGCGGATGGCGCCGCGCATGTAGTCGGTGAAGATGGTGAAGGTGGCGCAGTAAGGAATGATGCCTGCGCCATGGGAGGTGGCATCGGCATAGAAATGCCCTACAGTAAGATGTGGCAACATGTCAAGGAATTTCCGGCCGTCTTCATGTGCAAGCCGCATTCCGCTGCTTTGACGATTTGCCTGTGACCCGCACATGTCCAAACCTGTAACTCTCCCCCACCTGTCTTGTCCAAGGACAAGGCGTTGGACACGGCGCCCATGCCGAACTCCCGGATGCCAAAGCGCATGTTGCGCTCGGAGTAGCTGTCCTTCAGGAAGTCGCCCGTGCACTTCATCCTCAGAATCGAGCAAGCTCGAGCTCGCTTGGAGCCGCGAGCTCGGTTGGAGCGTGAAAAAGGGGGACGGGACTTCTGGAGGGGGCGGCGCGGCAAGAGCCGCAAAGACCATGCCGTTGGCATCGGACAGCAATGCCGTTGGCATCGGACAGCATGGAAGGCATCTCATGACCAATGGGACAGGAGTTGGCTCGTATTTCGGTATGAACCAGTGAAAAGTGACGCACCCATCCCTGACAGTCTCAAAAAGGCACTTCGTTCTTCGAACGAAGACGAGGTCGATTGGTTCCAGACGAGGTCGACGCGTCCGAGCCACAGAGTCATGTTGGAGGGAGCCAGGTCAGCAGAGCCACCCATGAACTCGGGCAGCACGTTGGCGATGGCATTCAGGCAGTCCTGTTTGGGGTTCTCTAAGCCATTTCAGACCAAGGGCAGTACTGGACGGGGTCCCTGTCTATCGAGAACGCTCTTGATTTCGGAGAAAACGCCCTGTCTATATCGGACATTCCGGGAAAAAGAAATGGCGTCGGGTGGATTCAATTATTCAGCCGATTCAGCCGGGGCGGACTTCTCTTATATCAATGTTGAAAGTCGGTGAGTGCCACCCCTCCGCATCGCCCCTTCATCGTGTACAGCCTGGCTGTTACCCTCAGGTCATCTGGACATCTGGACATTGGCAAGTCGTCTCCTGAGAGTGGAGGCGGGTGGCCTTGCCCTTGTCCTCAGGGGTCACCTGGTGGCATCAAGATCCCAAGCAACCAGCCCTGCGTCCTCGAATTACGTGCCCAAGCCTTTCTTACTAGTAGTAATGCCCTGGTTACTAGTAGCGTTCGATCGCTCTGTTCGTGTTCCAGGCCAGGAGCCCCTAGTTGCCCTACGTAGCGTCCGAGGGTCGCTCCATTCGAGTCGCTACATGCCAGGGTCGCCCCGTTCGAGTCGCTTCTTCTTACTCTACTGAGACTCATTCCAGTCTGTCGTCCGACCCACCTTGGGAAGCGCATCCGTCCAGTTGTCGGGCAGCTTCCGGTCCATCACCGCGCGCTGGAACTGCGCGGCGAGCTCCGGCTCCTTCTCCTGGTACTCCTGACACAGAACTCTGCCTCGAATTCAACCGAAATTCAACCGTCGATTCAACAAACCAATCGAAGAAATCAAACGAACGCATCGTCGTTCCCCCCTCGCCTTCCACATCTTATTCCAGGCCGCTTGCTTCTCAGAGCCAGCCTTGGCGTGCTTCCTGAAGGTGTCATACACCTGATCTGGCACCTCAGAGGAAATATATCAATCTGCAGATGAGACGCATCATCAGACTACAGAGCTTTTCTTGAAGTTTGAAGATTTCTGGAATTTTGAAGAGAACATGACCAAGTTGTATAGTCCATTTCTGTACTTTGTTTGCGCCTCGAACTCACCGTAGTTCCATCCCAGCTGCTTTCGTGTGGCCTCAAAAACTCTCTCAAGCGTGACCAAGTCCTATCAAAACGCGAGTCATTCGGGATAGTTACGAGGTTCAAGTCTTCAAGGCGATAGTCACCAAGTCCTGTCCAAACCGCGAGTCATTCGTTGCCTCCGCCTCATCTGCACCCAGCGGTGTTCCATGGGCATCATGGCTGTCAGCCTGGGCAGGCATCACGAGGCTTCAAACACAATCCCCCTTATCCCTTGTGGTTGAGCTGAATGATGCTTGGCATGGGAAATTGCAAAATGATGGTATTTTAAAAAACAATATATATATATATAGTTTTAAAAAATAGTAAATAGGAGAAACATTAGGAAAAAAAAGAATTGTTGTTGGTCCCATGTTTGGTCCTATTGTTGCTACTTGTTAGGTCCTATGTGTTCATATTTGTTCGTTTGTGTTTCCTAGTTGTTCACGAGTGTCCTTTTTTGAGGGTGCTGTTTTTTAAAATGCAAATTTAGAGAAATGAAATATGTATTTTTGTTGGCCCTATGCTTTTCCTATTGTTGTTCCTACTCTTTTCCTAATTTGGATGCTATTTATTTCCTAGTTTTTCCCGTTTTGTTTTTGTATTTTGACCGCACCCGTTGCAAGCTTAACTCCCTCGACACAGTCGTATCTCCCCTCCCATGGCCCTGGTGTCGGTCCTTGTTGGGTGAGCCAAAGCCAATGGTAGTCTTCACCTGCGACCAATCCACAAACATCATCAAACATCCACATCTTCTGTAGCTTTCAAAAGGCACGGCAGACCGCCTTGATCAGGGTTGGCTTGTCAGTGCAGGCCTTCGCCTCCTGCGCCAAACGAGCGAAGGGCAAGGCAGTTCAGGCCCTCTGAGTGGAAAGACTTGATGGATCATGCGAGGAAAGCGGCTTCTTTACATCTGTTACTCTGTTACACTATCACACTCTACTTCCAGAGGCCTTTCACTGAACATCGTGTTCTCAACCTGCCTTGATGGCCTTTCGGATGGCATCCACATCGGTGTTGCCCTCCGGCACTTCCAAAACCTCACAGGACCAGATCGGCAACCGTCGAAGCGACGCTCTGCAGCTGCTGTAGCTGCAGACGGAAAACCAATCAAGAAGATGGAAGCAGTTCAACCTGTTGTAAAAGGTCACACGGAAACTACAGGAACTCTGAAGAACATCTATGCTTTTGCCAAACCTGAAATGGTCTCCCCGTGAGGAATGAGCCACACCTGCCAGCCGTAGCCCTCGAAGCGCTTGCCCACGTCCTCGGTGAAGGAGAGATCGGTGTGGCCATCGATAGTGATGCCATTGTCATCGTAGAAGGCCTCAAAAAAGCATCGCGAAAAACTGAAGTCACACTCGAAAAAGTTGGGGCTGAACAGTCCCAAACTATGGGTAAGCCATGGGGTAGGAGCCCACCATGGAAGAGAGTCAAAGGCACCGTCGGAACTTAAGCACATTGGATCTGTATCCAGACTGAAGGAATCCCTAGATATGCACGACGCAAAAGCACACACACAGCGGTCTGCCGAGCCACGATGAGCTTTCCCAGGCCCAAGTGGCCAGCATAGGCGCAGGCCTCATGTGAGATGCCCTCCTGCATGCAGCCATCGCCTGCGTCCGCAAAATGCTGTAAACAAATCTGCGCGTGTGGGCGCGCCAGTACTCAACAGACGCAAGACCAACAACCCCGCACGACTGTTAGACTGTTAGCATGTTCCAATGTTCCAGAAACAATGCAGAAACGTTGGTCCACACCGACGAACCTCAGTAGAGAACACTTCAAAAAAAACCTCCAGGGTGGCCCCCTGATCACTCGTCACATGTTGATGCAGTAGAAAGTTATGCAAGAGAAGCAGCAAAAGACACCAGCGGAAACTCAACAAAACAGCAGACCCGAGGCTTGTCGTAACTTGTCAGAAAACAACTCTCCGGTCGCAATCGGTCGGAAACGTCAGAAACTCCGGAGTTTGGTGGAAACCTGCGATGGTGTAGGTGTAGTGGTCGATCAGCTCCATGCCAGGCTTGTTGTAGACCTGATGCGCTTGGTGGTGGCCATTGGAGCTAGACCCTATCAGCTCCCCTTTATTCGGACCACATGGAACACACAAAACCACATGAGTTTTGGTGGGAAAATGGTCGAAACCACGCGCTAAGTCTGCAGGTCCATGTAGTCTCTCGGGGAGTACATGAAGTATAATGTAGACTCTTGATCAATAAACCGATGAAGAGGCTTAAAGCCTCCATGGACATAGGGAGCCTTACTAATCAAGAGTCTACATGAGTCGTAGAGTCGCAGAGGTTTAGAACATATATACTTCGTTTTCTCGCCGTGGTGGTTCCACTCCCGCCCAAAGAGTCCACCTGAAGAGTCGACTCTCCGGAAACCAGTCCGTCGGCCCGTGGGACCGTCGTCAACGCCCAGTCCGTCCGTCGTCCCTCCGTGGGAACGACGTGAACTCCTTCCGCGCAGACCGTGCTTCTCCAAGGCACTGCCGCCAGGTGCGCCTCGGCGGCCGCCAGGCCCACGGCGTTGGAGATGCCCATGCCCAGCGGTCCGGTGGTCCTCGGTCGCGAAACGGGGGGGTCTGAAGAAGACAGTTGTAAGGCGAAATGCAGGTAAACGCAGTCTGCAACAGCTGCTGACAAGACCAGATGAAACAACTGAAAATCACCCCAGGTTCCTGAAGCTGCTTGAAAATACTTGTTCATTGCAATCAAGTTTCACTTCAATGCCATCGGTCTCGAAGTTCTCAGGATGGCCTGGAGTCTTGGAACCCCACTGTCGGAACTGCTTGATGTCGTCGATGGAGACGCTGTCGTACCCGGCCAAGTGCAGGAGGGAGTACTGGAGCATGCAGCCGTGGCCTGAAGAGAGGACAAAGCGATCACGGTTCACCCACTTTGGATCCTCAGGATTGTACTGCATCTCCTCAGCGAAGAGAAGGTATCCAATTGGTGCCTGACCCATGGGAGCACCAGGATGACCACTGTTGGCCTTGTTCACAGCATCCACGGCCAAGAAGCGGATGGCATTGATGCACTCAGTGTCCACATCCACTTCGGTTGCTGTGGCGAGGCGAACAACCTTGTCCTTCTTGGCGCATCGCTTGTTTGGTCGCACAGCTGCGGTTGCTGCCAAAGCTGCTGCTCCGGCGCCAAGAATGCTGGCTCCAGCGCCAACTCCGCTGGCAGGCGCTGATGTGGCCACAGGCGCCGGGGCGCTTGTCACAGCGCTCAGCTTCTTAGTATGTCACCATTGTTTAGCAGTTGTGCTTGCAGTTCAATCCTATTTATCATATTTTTGGAAACAAGTTCAAACACATCTCTCGTTTCGGCTTACATTGAACTTTGAACAATGTAACTTGCTGCAACGAAGAGACTGTTTGGGCTGCAGGGCCCACAAACGCAGGAGCCAACACGGTCGCCGCAGCACCGGCAGCCACGGCGGCAGTAGCACGTTGGGCACGAGTGGTCGGCATGGCAAATGACGTAAGGCACACCCAATAACTATTTTCGAGCTAAATGCTGCTGTGCACATCTCGAAAACGAAAGAAGGCACCTTTCATATTGAGACTCGACTCTGCGATGGAAACAACACATGCATGAGGCCAAACTTTGGCCCAAATCAGCAAAGTCCACCTTTTTTTAATGACAACACTTCCGGACCCTGGCGGCTGCCAGCAACGTCCATGAAAAGCTGCGGCAAAGGTCACTGGGCGACCGAAATTGGAAAATATGTAAGTTACACACCGAGTGCCCGTTCCAATGCATCCATCTGCTTTGGTTCAAGTTCTCCATCAATTTCAACTTCTCCATCTGCTACTGTTTGGAGCACGCGAAATGCATCATCAGACGGGACTGCATGAACGGGGAAAAAGCCAAGTTTGATTAAAAGCATAGCTCCAACTTGGCGCCAGCAGCCTCTCCATTGAACAGCTGGACTTGGAGCCAAGGTCTACTGGTCCATTCACATCAAGGTCTACTGGTTGGTATACTGCTCGCTCAATGCTTGCCCTGGCTGCCGTTGGACCTCAGCCACGTGCCCGCGAAACCACCCCACCCCAGGCTCCGGCCAGCTGGGCAGCTCCGAAAGGCTTCCGGGAACCCGCGGGGCGCTGTCCGTCTCCGACCGGCGGAGCGCTTTGACCCAAGGGGCGACTGGAGTGAAAGAAGGGGTGAGGAAGAATGCCACATTGGATGAGATAGATGCGGAAACAAACCAACCAACCAACCAACCAATGAGGACAAAAGCAAACACAACTCCTCTAGATCTAAGTTATTCTATGTCATCTGTGCCTTTTCACTCACTACTGAGGGCCTCAGCTTGGATGGAATGGTCAGCCCTCTGTCGTATGTCATCAGCGTTTGCAGCACGGATACATCCTGGGCTTCCATGCAGGGCGCCCTTTTCGCCCGAGAGGCACCTGCCAACTTGCCGCATCATTGAAGGAGAAAACCCCCACCTCGTTGAAAGAGAAACCCCCCAAAAAAAGCCCTGCAACATCTGCAGAATCATGTCCGCAACATGATTGACGGATCAAACCCCGCATCATCTCTACCACGTGTTTGTGGCAACAGAAGGGTAGTCTCAACCCGACTCAACCCTGATAACCCACCCAGTCTGACTCTAGAGTCCTGGACTACTCCAAGATGACTCCAAAAAGGGGGACATCCTTAGTCGTCCTGACTCCAAAAAGGAACCCAACTTCGCAGCTCCGCCCCTTCCGTTCCCGCGGGTTCCCGGCGGAACGGAGACCGTAGCCGGGGCTGTTTCACTCGCCTCTCGGCGCAGCTGACGACGTTGTCCACGTTGAAGCCGAACTTGTCCAGGCCTTATGCAACGTCATTGGGTGAGAGGGGAAGCGTTTTAGGGTGGTCATTACCACCATAAAGTGTCCACTTTTGAAGGTGTGAACTGAAATCAACTTGGCATGGGCACAGGTCGACTTTAGATGACTTGAGATGAGAACTGGGAGTGCTTGGAATCCCCAACACAGGTCTTTTCTTCCACTGGTGCTTTTTCAGTGTATCAGAACTCACACGGATGACTCCAGACATATGAGATACCTTTGGTAAAAGCACCAATGGATACGACCAATGGAGAGCCGACACGGGCACCAAGCACCAGGTCCAGCACGGGCTCCGTTCCACCGTTCTCCGCCCAGGGCACAGGTGCCGCCCGGCGCGGAGGCTCCGAAGACGTCGATGCCCACGAAGGCATCCGCCTCGGGTTTGGCAGAGGGAAGGTCCAGGGATGTGGGTGATGTGGTAGGAAATCATCATGAAAATCAAGAAGCAAAAAGAGAAAGAGAAGCATGTTTTTAGTCTTCCTTTTTTTTTAGTGATGTTTGCTGTGTGATTGCTTTGTTTTGACTTGAAATGCGGGAGACTCCCGATCGCCCCACTTTTGGGGGGGAGTAGACTGATCTAGAGCAAAAACCCAGAGGGTCGTTGCCTGAGAGATCCCTAGTTCAATTACAGACCCTTTCGCATGTAGCGGAGTCTTCGTGTTTGAAGACGTGGAGATGTAGCGTCGCAGCGCCGAAAAGCGCCTGCGGGTGCTCCCTGTTTGAAAACATGTGGAAAGGAGGTGACTTGGTTTGGGGGGGAGACGCATGCGGCAAGCAGCGGAAGCCATGCGGCGCTTTCCTTTAAAAAAATGAAAAGATGGTCTGTTTGAGCTCCCCACGAATTCACCCCATCCAGAAGTGCATGCGGCCTGAGACGAGGGTCACAGCGTACGCTTCTGGACGAACACATCACATGGTGACGTGGATGGCACCCCCCGGTTCGCCAAGGAAAGTAGTCTTCCAAGGGACCATGCCACTTCCATATGAGTGAGTTAGAGTGTTCAGTCTTCGTGAGGCGTCAAGAGGCCTCAACGCTCATCTTCGGCACGTCTGCTGGCAGCAGCTTGGACTTGTAGCTGTCCGGCTGCTCCTAAGTCGGACTCCGCTGTTCCTCTCGTGTTGGGCGATGTGGGCAGCCGTGTATCATGCTCGACTTCACCCCACAAGGCAGCCGCCCTGTAGACCTCGCAAGAAGGCATCGAGACCTCAGAGTCAAACGGATCGTCTTTCTTGCGTCTATCCTAGTACCAGTAACAGTGGACGATGGTTAGTAAAGGCCTTGTTCAATAAAAGGTGATACTTCTTTACTCACTGTTACAGGTATTCGAATATTGTTTACTTGGGATGGGTGATACTTGGGGACTCTCGAATTTGGGGGACAAACCCAAGATATTCGAAAGAAACTCGCTTCAAAGCACATGCATCTGCCCTACATCAATCCACTGAGCTGTGGGCCACTCGCACCTGGAGCTCTGCTGAAATCGGTGGTACTGTTCATGAACGAAAAGAATCTGCTGAACTAAGAATCCGAGGTACTGTTCTGTTCTTTTAAAGAGAAATGACGAATCGATGCACAGTTCGTGCGTCTCTTCCGCCTTCTTCTCCAACTTCTTGGCCGCATCGACGCACAGTCCAACTTCAGAGCCAGTGCCGATCCTGTTTGGCGACCCGATGTTTAGCTGCGAGCAAGAGCAAGAAGCCCCGCCCCTTTAACACCTGTGATCAAGGACCTAGATCAAGGCACCCCGGATTCAAAACAATCAAGAATTCCCCTGCTAGTTGAACTGGATTCCCTTTCACCGAGTTGCAGGATCAGCTCTGGCTCTTCGCACTCAATCACCTCATAGGCACCTCGTGTTTTTCGACCGAGGACGCCGAGGACAATCTGACGTCTTGTCTTCGTCTGATTGCCACACTCCAAGCGTTCAGCGCGTTCAGTGCGTTCATCGTGACACGTTCGTTGCGGATGGTGAGAACCATCCACCATCCAACAATGCGTGGAAAAAATGGCAGCTGTACGGATTGGACATCCACGGATGTTCGTATTCTACGGTGTGCATTTCAGGTGGAACTAGTGCTATCAGTAGATCTCTCCATCAAGGCACAAGCCTTTCCCTATCTTTGCGGGTATGTTGACTCCGCGGGGGGGTTGCGGCCTGCTATGTTCAGCCTCAACAACCCTGAACAAATCTACCTCACGTTGAATGCGGCTCATACATTGTCATACATGTCAGAAAAGGGGATCACAAACCGTGCGAAGAAACCCTTTCAAATCTGCAGCTTTTTCAGTTCCATGCCTCTTCAAGTGACAAGGCCGGGCATGTCATCAGGCTTCTCAGACCGATGTTCCAACCACGATATATCATGCTGCGACATCAGCATAAGGTTGGAGGCCATCGCTATTGGGTTGGAGGCCATCGCTATTAGGTTG